GAAAGGAGAGTAGTCTAAATTAGCCCCAGGCTCGATCACTGAGGAAATGCTTGGAAATGTATTTTCCAGTGCTTAACCCAGCAAATACAAATCAAAAGTTTGTCATGTTGAACTAGCTATGTAATGAACGAGATTTGTCAAATTTCTTTCAAGACTAGGCAGGATTTAGAATCATAGAATTCCTACTACAGGAGCAGGCTATTTGGCCCATCGAGTCCACACCAACCCTCTGAAGAGCATCCTACCCAGATCCACACCCCACCCCATCCTATCCCGGTAAACCTGTATTTCCCATGGCTAATCCACTGAACCTGCACATCCCTGGTCACTATGGGCAATTTAGCATGGGCAATCCACCCTAACATACATATCTCTGGGCTGTGGGAGGAAACCGGAGCACCCGGAGGAAACCCACGCTGACACAAGGAGAATGTGCAAACTGCACAGTCACCCAAGGGTGGAATCAAACCCAGGCCCATGGCACCATGAGGCAGCAGCGCTAACCACCGAGCCACTGTGCATTTAACGACTACTGAGGTCTTGCTCGCTGGTGGAAGTCTCATCCTGCCTAATGAAAGGCTTCTTAGGGATCAGGGATCAGGGATCCTGGGGGCAGAAAGCCCAGCCATCAGCAGCCAATCCAAAGCCAGCAGCTGCCAGGACTCACCAATGCCATACAGTGGCTGCTGATGGTATTGTAACCAAAGAGGCCAACGATCAGCACTGGACCCCAGGTCTACAGGTGAGCTGGCCTGGGGGCTGGTAGGAGAGGCTGGGTTGGTGAATAGGCTTGTTTTTTGGTGGAGAGTGGGGAGGTGGGTGATAACTCTTGGGGCTACCTGAAGGCTCCAGTTGGAGACAGGTTGGGAAGGTCAGTCATGCAGCATCCTGGCTCAGGCCTCACTTTGATGAAGGCAGGAGGCAGACTGGCCTCGTTCCATTCTCCATCAGACTGAAAACCCGGTTTGGGGACGGCTATGTAACCCTGAACAACCACCACCACAACCCCACCCCCAGAACCGCGCTCCTCCCCATTCAATATATTTATTTACAAAGACTGTGAGCCTTTCCAGTCCAGTGCACAGGGTTGGCCCTCTTGATTTTGGAAGCAAGCAGGTGACATTGTCTCAGGGTCTGGCTCACGTCAATTTTCAGCCCAACAGAGGAGGCCTGTTTACTCTGAATCCTAGCCCAGGCAGCAATGCCATTAATCCAAAGTCAATGCGTACACATAAACAAACCTGTTGTCTTGGACTATGATCAGATTGTCATCTGGATCGATTGTAAGGACACGTGGCTTGTGAAGGCCATCAACTGTACTCAACAACTGTCTCTTAAACCTTCCAGTGGGCGAAAACACCAGGATCCTATTGGGTTCAGTGACATAGATATTGTCATTTCCATCAACACAGACACTGAAAGGATTAAGATGACATTGTATCCCATTCACAAAGCTCTCACTGCAGACGGTTACGAGCACTCCAGATCGAGTGAAGATCACAACACATTTCTTCCCACAATCAGACACAATGAATTCTTCTTCACTGTTCACTGCAATGAAAAGAAATCTACTACCATCATAACCCCTTGGCTTAATCCTGTCAACTACACGGCCATCGAGATCATACAGAGAGATGGAACATAGTGTTCCTTCGCTCACAGCCACATATACATCTTCATACGCGGCAATAGGGTACGCTGACTCGGAGCCTCGGAGGAGGAGCTTTCTCACCAGCGATCCGTCCATTTCTAAGAAGTAAAGCCTGTTCTTGGCGGAACACACAATAATATCGTCACAGATGGCCACGCTACACGGGTCTTCATCTTCATCTGGCAGTGAGATAATCCTGTTCAATGATCCACCTTTCCAGTAACACTTCAGGACCGCGTTCTCTTCATCCGCAACAATGATGTCTCCATCTTCGGAAGTACAGATGCCTGTCAATTTGGGCACCATGTTATGGTCCACCTTAGTGTCAAAGTGATATTTCTGAACTGCCCATTGTTGGGACTGAGCGGTGGCCTGGGTTTCAGCAATGCATGTCAGCTGCCCAGTATTGGGGAAAATTGGCTGGGATTCAGGACCTGAACCTTCACCCAATGTGACAGTGAAGAGATGAGTTTCTGATATTATACTCCGGACGTATTTGTTGACCATTAGCTTGGGGCAGGCTTTGTTTAATTCTTGGATGTTGAATGGTTGCAATGAACTGATCTGATCTTGTAAAATGCTCTCCAAACATACTATCTCCTTCGCATTACAATCCATCATAACCCTCTCACCATGTTCTCTCATGCTCTTTGTCTTCTCCTTCTGAAGCTCAAGGTTAGATTTGGCAGCTTTGATTAACTCTTCCTGTTTCTTCACATACTCCGAAACAGTTTTTTTGATGGCATCTCCCTGTTTAAACAGATCATTTAAAACCTCAGTCAGAGTGCTCTCTAAGTTGGAAATTATAGACAATTGCGTTGTTTTCACTTTGTCCATTGCTTCATCCAGTTCACTCTCTTGTTGGGCTAGAGACTGGGGAACTGTGCTGAGTCTTTCCAAAAGTTTCTTCACTGTGGGTTTCTTTACCTCAGCCGCCTCAGCGATCCCAAGCCGTTTATGTTTGTTGCAGGAATGGGAATAACATTTGTAGCAAATGACCCGGTCACACGTGCTGCAGTAATGACGGACTCGCTCCTTGGGGTGAAACTGGCAGCAGACCTTTTGCTGCATTATCATCCCTATATCGGCTTTATCCAGCAGGGCAGGGGCCAGGTCCACCACGTTATGGGTGCTGTAGTTAATCTGATGACTGTCCCCACAAGCTCTACACAGGTAGTGTAAGCAACTGATACACTGGGCCACTGCAGAGTTCTTGACTTTCCAGCCTTGGGGACAAAGGGTACATACCAACTCCTTCTTCTCCTCCTCCTTTTCCGGGCTTTTGAAGATATCCAGAAGGCTGTTGATGTAGAAGCTTGTCTGCAGGCTGCTAATGCCAGCACTCACATCAACGACGTCCCTACACTCTGGGCACATGATCTTACCAGCCTTCACCAGCTTTTGGAGGCATTCTTGACAGTACGTGTGTTGACAGGGCAACATTTTGGGCTGTGCCATCGTTTCAAGGCAGATTTTACAATTTAAAATATCATGTTGAATTTTATCAGCAATAGCTGATGAAGTGGCCATCGTGTCAGGTACAATCTGAAGAGGAAAGCAGAGAGAGAGAGAGAGAGTAACCCTCAGCAGTCAGTTCTTGAGAAGATGTGGCTAGGATTCCGAGCAGACCGTGAATGCATCAGAACAGATTTCAGTTTTAGGTTTTGCTGAATCGGAACCGGAACCGAAACCGAAACCGGGAGGGGGAAGAGGGGAGGGGTAACGCCGCCAGGGAAAACAAACCCTTTCCGAACCCATCAAGACTGAGACGGAGTAAAAGGGGCAGCTTCCGGGGCTCAATTCCCCCCCAAAATAGCACCATCTCCCCACAAACAAAATACAAGAAACTGCAAGGGTCAGGTATAACTGGGCGGCCTCAGGGTTAAAGGCGAGCGGCTGTACCCCCCTGGGGAGGGGGTGGGTGAGTACACAGAGGGTAAACAGCCTGGCCCAGCCCAGGGACAGGTTGCTGCCCCCACCCCGGGGACCCACTTCATGAAAGCCCATCCCGTGCGGAGGCTGGTGCAGGGTCTCTCTCTGTGGTTCCCACTTACCTGCGGGGCTCTGGTTCTGGTGAGTCACACTGGCTACTCTCCCGGAGCAGGGTGAGCTGTATCAGCCGTGTCCTCTCTCCCGAGCCAAGGCAGAGAGTCCGAGCCCCGCCCGCCGTTCACCCAGAGAGAGAGAGAGAGAGAGATAGAGAGAGCAGATCCGCTCCCAGCCTCTGGGCTTCCTCTTCCTGCGCACACACACACAGCAAAGTGAGACTGTGCGAAACAAACTCAACTCCATCTGATTCCCCCCCTCCCCACAATCCTAAACAATTTAAATTAATGCAGCAAACTCGTCTTGTCTCACGTGTATTTCCAAAGTGCAGCGAATGCTGAAACCTCTCTCATGTGTTTGCAGGTTCGGTTCAGTAGACGTTTTCACGGAAGTACTCCCTTTGTAATAACTCCAGCACTACAGTCCATTATTGCAGATTGTAGAGGGATCCATGGTTATGGCAGCACAGAGGGATTTGGGAGTCCAAGCACATCAATCAGAAAAAGGCCAGCACTCCACTCCAGTCAGGGATAGGGAAGGTTAATGGAATGTTGGCTTTTATTTCAAAGAAATGGAGGATAGGACATAGAACAGTACAGGCCTTTTGGCCCAGGATGTTGTGCCGACCTATTATCCTACTCTAAAAGCATTAAACTCATGGCTAGAAACCTAAAGACTTGGTCAATGTGAGGGATTAAACCCATGATCTTAACATGATTAGCACTATGCTCTAACTAACTGAGCTAACCAACCACCACAAAGACTCAGATCATAGATCATAGAATCCCTACAGTGTGGAAACAGGCCCTTCAGCCCAACAAGTCCACCCTGCCCCTCAAAGCATCCCACATAGCCCACCTAATCTACACATCCCTGAACACTACGGACAACTTAACATGGCCAATCCACCTAACACATCTTTAGACTGTGGGAGGAAACTGGAGCACCTGGAGGAAACCCACGCAGACACTTGGGGAAGGAGCACCTGGAGGAAAATAACAGGGAAGTCTTGCTAAATCTGTACAAGGTGTTAGTTAAACCATTAGCTAGAACACAGTGAACAGCTTCAATCTTATTTAAGGCAGTATCTTTTTATTGCAAAAATATACTTTATTCATAAAAGATCTTTATGGATATATGCAGGTACTAAAACAGTTCTATACAGTCTTTGCATATTAACAGAAACAAACATTGATCTGACATTGTCTGGCATTTCTGACTTATACAGGACACTATTTACATACATTTGAGACATCGGGATAGTCCGATAACTGAATGGACTCCTATTTACCTTCAGTGGGAAGACCTCAGACAGTGGTCCTTTCCCACTGTGTCTTGCCAGCAGCTGCCCCAAGCTTTAGTGCATCCCTCAGCACGTAGTCCTGGGCCTTGGAAGGTGTCAGTCTGCAGCACTCGGTCGGGGCCAACTGCTTGCTCTGGAAAACCAACAAGGTTTGGGAAGACCGAAGAGCATCTTTCACTGTGTTGATGGTCCTCCAGGCGCAGTTGAGGTTGGTCTCGGTGTGTGTCCCGGGGAACAGACTGCAGAGCACAGAGTCCCGTGTCATGGAGCTGCTTGGGACGAACCCCAATAAGAATCACTGCATCTCTCTCTCCAGACTTCCTTAAAAAGGCACATTCCAGAAGGAGATATAGGAGTTGGGAGGTCATATTGCAGCTGTACAGGACATTGGTTAGACCATTTGGAATACTGTGTTCAATTCTGGTCTACTATAGGAGAGATGCTGTGAAACTTGAGAGGGTTCAGAAAAGATTCACAAGGATGTTGCCGGGGTTGGAGGGTTTGAGCTATAGGGAGAGGCTGAATAGGCTGGGGCTATTTTCCTTGGAGTGTCGGAGGCTGATGTGACCTTACAGAGGTTTATAAAATCATGAGGGGCATGGATAGGGTGAATAGCCAAGGTCTTTTCCCCAGGGTAGGGGAGTTCAAAACTAGAGGGGCATAGGTTTAAGGTGAGGGGTAAAGATTTAAAAGGGACCAGAGGAGCAACTTCACGCACAGGTGGTGAGTGTATGGAATGAGCTGCCAGGGGAAGTGGTGGAGGCTGGTACAATTACAACATTTAAAAGGCATCTGGATGGGTACATGAATAAGAAGGATTTAGAGGGATATGGGCTAAATGCTGGCAAATGGGACTGGATTAATTTAGGATATCTGATCGGCATGGATGAGTGGGACTGAAGGGTCTGTTTCAGTCTCTATGACTCTATGAGATGTGTAACAGTCTCAATGCCCCCTGCAGCCACTTTGAGGGTGGTGTACGGTGGCACAGACCAACTGGACGTGCATAAAGGCTCTCAGGAGGAATGCCCATCTCACCACCAGCCAAGCAATGCTTTGATTCTTATTGGAAAGTTTTGATGATGAAGCATTCTGCCAAATAACTTTGACAGTCTGCTCAGGGAACAACCCAACAGGATCCACCCTCTCCTTTTCCAGCAGGGTCTCGAGGACACTATGTGCTGACCACTTCCTGATGGACTGGTGGCCAAAGTTGTTTTTCTTCACAAATTTCTTCATAAAGGATAGGTGATACAGAATGGTCCAACTACATTCCACGGCAGTGAGGCCAGTCCCATCCTTCAACACCAGGGACAGTTAGAACCTCAATACGTAGAGACACTTGGTGTTTGCGTGTCATGGGTGTACACGCAGCTTGATGCAGCCGTACACAAAGGATGAGGGTGATGTTGGGTACATTCTCCTCCCATTTATCCAGAGTTTTGTACATGGTGTCCTTGTGAACACGATCCACTTTAGACCTCCAGATGAAGTGGAAGATGATTCAGATGATTGCAACGGCACATGTTCAGCAAATAGGCCAAACCTGTGTCACGTATCACAACAGAGAGAGTGCCTTATCACCTAATGACCAGGTTTTTATATGCAATGGAGAGGGAGCAAAAGACCAGTTTCTGCCTCATTCCAAGATATGCTCCTTCCAAGATTTTGCACATTCCTGGCCCCTCTGAGCCATATTCCCTACGTCCAGGTAGTCTGTCCTAATGGTGAAGGGGATAAAGGATCAGTTGACCCAGTTTCCAAAGAACATGGCCTCGCTCTTGCCTTGGTTTACTTTGGCTCATGAGGACAGTTCAAACTGGTTGCAGATGCTCACGAGACAGCGGATCCGAGCAGAAAACAGTGACCTCATCCATGTACAGGGAGGCTTTAACCTGCAGGCCCCCTGCTGCCTGGACCAGTCACCCCTCTCAGGCTCACATCCTTCCTGACAGACTGAGCAAAAAGCTCTATGCAACACACAAACTAGGCAGGAGAAAGTGGGCAGCCTTGCTTGACTCTGGATCTGATCAAGAAGCTTTCTGATTCCCATCAATTCATAATCATTGCCAGTCCCTTGCAGATGAGGATGACTCTCTTCCACTCTCGGGGTGGGTCTGTAAGTGGCTGTACAGACCAATGTGGCTACCACAGGATCTGTTACATTTGGGGCAGGTGGTGGTCACAGGAAGGGGATGGTTGGGGCATTGATGTGGCAGCGTGCTCCTTTCGCTCCTTTCACCCGGCCTCCACTTGTTCCAGATGGCAACTCTCAAGGTGCTTGATACCTTCCCAAATACTCCTCCTCCACTTTGGACAGTCCTGTGCCAGTGATTCCCCGGTGTCTGTGGGAATGTCGCACTTTGCCAGTGAGGCCTTGAGGGTATCACTGAAGCCCCACCTGGGGCTCACCTGCCGTTTCAGAGCTGGGAGTAGCGCACTTGCTCGGGGGAGTCTCGTGTCGGTCATGCAGACAACGCATTGATTGAGACTGCACTAACAATGTTGGTATAGAGCAGTCAGATCCAGTTACGGATTCCCTCCCCAAAGTCTGTGTTAGAGAACATGTCCCACATGTACGTGTGTGATATCCTGCCAAAGGCCTTCTCCTGGTCCAGGCTGATGAGGCCGGCATCCACCCCCCTGTCCTGCATGTCGGTGATCGTATCCCTGAGTAGCGCGAGGCTCTCAGCGATCATCCTGCCCGGTACAGCACAGGTCTGGTCGGGGTGAATTACTGATTCCAGAGCAGACCTGACCCAGGTGGCGAAGACCTTAGAAAGGATTTTGCTGTCTGCATTCAGCAGTGAATTTGGTCACCCATTTCTAATTTCCTCCTTCTCCCCCTTCCGCTTGTAGATGAGGGTGATGATACCTTGCCTCATGGATTCACACATGGTACCTCATGTAAAGACAACAATCTCTTCCCTCAATGTCAGCAAAATGAAGGAGCTGGTCATCAACTTTAGGAAGTGAAGTGGAGAACATGCCTCTGTCTGTATCAGTGGTGCTGGGATGGAGATGGTTGAGGGCTTCAAGTTCCTGGGAGTAAATATCACCAACAGTCTGTCCTGGTCCATCCACATCAATGTGACAGTCAAGAAAGCACAATGTCTCTACTTCCTCAGAAGGCTAAAGGAAATTCAGCATGTCCACAATGACACTTACCAACTCTTATAAATGCACCATAGAAAGCATCCTATCCAGATCTATCACAGCCTGGTATGGCAACTGCTCTGCCCAAGACCACAAGAAATTACAGAGAGTTGTGAACACAGTCCAGGCCATCACAAAAACCAGCCTTCCTTCCACTGACTCTGTCTACACTTCCCACTGCCTCGGGAAAGCAGCCAACATCAAAGACCCCTCCCATTCCAGTTATACTCTCTTTCACCCTCTTCCATCAGGCAGAAGATACAAATGTTTGAAAACATGCACCAACAGATTCAGGAACAGCTTTTTCCCTGCTGTTATCAGGCTTATGAACGGATCTCCCATATAGATCTTTCTCTGCTCCTTCTCGAGCTGTAATGCTATATTCTGCATTTGATTCAATAACCCTGATGTACTTATGTAAGGTACGATTTGTCTGGATAGTAGGCAAAACAATACTTTTCACTATATCTCAATACATATGACAATAATAAATCAAACAAAATCAAATCCAGCAGGACCTGGCCATTCAAGTCCAATTGAGCCAAATGTAACTTGGCAACTCGGCCTGTAAGCCGTCATTTACATGAGTTTTGTTCTTTTCTAAGGACTTGAACACCTTTGAGGATGAAGAACCTCTCAATATTCCCTTTGACTGTTTCCCACTC